GATGATGTTGTAGTCAAGACTGCTAGTGTCCAGTCCAAGTCAGGACCAGACATTTAGTAGTTGAGTCCAAATCAAGACCAAGACTTTAGTAGTTGAGTCAGAGTCAAGACCAAGACTTTTAGTAGTCAAAACCAAGTCAAGACCGAGAATTTTAGTAGTTGAGTCCAAGTCAAGACAGAGGCTTTTAATAGTCGAGTCCAAGTCTAGATTGAAGCTTTTATTAATTGAGTCTGAGTCAAGACCAAGAGTTTTAGTAGTTGAGTCCAAATCAAGACCAAGACTTGTAGCCTTTGAGTCCGAGTCAAGACCAAGACTTTTAGTAGTTGAGTCTGAGTCAAGACCGAGGCTTTCAGTAGTTGAGTCAGAGTCAAGACCAAGACTTTTAGTAGTCAAAACCAAGTCAAGACCGAGACATTTAGTAGTCGAGTCCAAATCAGGACCAAGACTTTTAGCAGTTGAGTCTGAAACAGGACCAAGACTTTTTACAGTCGAGTCAGAGTCAAGACCAAGACTTTTAGTAGTCGAGTCCAAATCAAGACCAAGACTTTAAGCAGTTGAGTCAGAGTCAAGACCAAGACTTTTTATAGTCAAGTCGGAGACTTTTAGTAGTCGAGTCTGAGTCAAGACTGAAACTGTTAGAAGTCAAGTTCAAGTCAAGAACGAAACTTTTAGTAGTTGAGTCAGAGACAAGACCAAGACCAGGAAAGGCTGAGACCAAGACTTTTTTTTTTTAAACCACTTATGTTTTTCCTTTTTTTTGGAACTAGTAAACATCAACAAACAAATAATAGTTAAGCCACCCTGGGAAGATCATTAGATCCTCTACCAACAATTTTTTTTCAAACATATACAACAGTGGTCTTCAACCTGTGGGCTGCAGCCCCTCAGTAGGCCATGATGGTACGGCAGTTTTTTTTAGTGTATAAATTTGTTACAATACAAACATTTAACCAAACGTAATTTTAAATATGACAAATATTGTTAACTATTTGCAAAAATAAAATATGATATTTATATCAAACTCATTGTTCTGTTAAAATGTTAGCTAGTTATATTTATATTGTCACTGCAAGCATAACTGAAATGAAATACGGCAGTCAACTGAGCTTCACATGTGTGGGAACTAAAAACCAATAACCAGTAACTTCAGCTCTGTATTGTTTGCTCAGGGGTCTTTTGAAATTAAGCTCAGAATCCCAACAATTTTCTTTCATTTGGAGACTAAACACAGTGAATATGTATCTAAACCTTTTGATTTGAGCCAGAACTCTATTTAAGCTTTCCTCTCTTGACATTCAGCACTCGACAACTGCCAAATCAGCCGTCTCATTAGGTGAGTAAGGAAAAAAAGATCTAATCCTTTAAATCTGTGGAAGCTTTTGTGGTCATTTGTGTAGGCCAAGAGTTGCAAAAGTCTGGGAACTCCTGATGCAGAGCAAAGACTCTGTTTTACTCTGTTTATTCTGGTTTTCTTGATATTCAGTAATAACACAGATCCCAATTATTCAGACAGAGGCATTGCACTTGGCTGGTCTTGACAACAATTTCTGAGTCCACCTTACACAAAGACCAGGACAAGACAGAGTCCAAATGATGTCAAGACCGAGACCAGTAGTTTATGGTCTTGAGACCGAACTCTCATGCTACGTGACCAGTAACATAAGTGTACAATCAATTCTGGGTGGAGATTTGCAAATAAATGTATCTAGGGATCATTCACCTCTCTGCTCTTGTTGTTCTGTTCGAGAGTTAGGTTTGTGTTTTTGTTTCTTAACAGCTAGAAGGTGTCTGATGTGAAAATCACCTTGTGATGTAGCAATTAAATGTGACAAGACTTCTGTGAAAACTGTACAGAAAAGTACAGAATCTTTAAAATCTTACTTTGTTACTTCCCACCTCTGGTTTCTGGGGCCAGATTTACGAAAGCTTTCCTTAGAAAAAAACTTAGACAAACACTATGAGATTCATAACAATGTTCTTAAATGCAATCCTCAAAAAATACATAAATAAAGAAATAGAAAATAAACAAGTAAATCAAAAGAAGTTCTCAATTATTCTGATATTCAGATTTCTTCACAGTGGTATTGATAGGAACCAGGGGTTATGATGCCTACAACACAAATAGTCATTTCAATTTCTTGCCAAACAACCAGTGAACTTACACGTGTGTCCTGAGTTACTCTACATAATGTTGATCATGCAAAATAATAGTTTACCTGAAGAAATAAGCTTTAGTTGGGGACTAATTTGCCTTAGAGCATCTGGAATGGAGTTAAAAATGTTTTATGCCAAAAGCTTATCTCAAAAATATTATAAAAAAATGTCTCAGGCATTAGGCAGTGTATTCTTAGCCAATTCATGGAATAACTTTCTGAGAAAGAGCCATTAAACACTTGGTCATCTGGTTCCTATCATCACAACCGGTAACAGTTCTGACTCTCTGTTTTGTGAGAAGGAACAATTCACACCAAACCACTCTGAATTACTTTGTTTAGCTCTTCATATTTTTAATTATGCAGACATTTTAAAAAAAATCAGTGGAATTGCCTTTTCAGATGCTTTGTGAAAAATAATTTTTTTCTTATGTATTCTTTTCGATGCTTTTGTGAATCTGGCCCCTGATCTACCATGTTCATAGTATGAACATGTTAAAGCTTCTTATCTAACACAGTCTAGTCTGTCCTCTCATGTCGTTACCAGAGTGAAACTTTGAATCAAATTTCTCTCAAAATCAGCCCCAAATTACTGAATTGGCATTAGTGGTTGTCTCAGCCATCATAACTTAACAAAGACCATCATGCTGGCACAGGAACATTCTGAAGACATCCACAACCCACTCACTCATTTCAGTCTTTCAGGCAGTCACTCCTTCCCTTCTGCTCTTGCACCAAGGCTTTATTTCAACTGCCAACTGACACATTTATCCTTTTCTTTTATTCAGAAGCTGAAGAGAATGACATGGTTTTGAGCACTTTCAGGAACAAAATCTTATAATTCCAGCTACAACAACTCATACTGTAATCATCGCCTGTGTTTATATTCCTATAGCATAAACAATCTCTGATACAGGGCCAAATGAATGGTATATTAATATAACAATGTATAATAATGATATGTAATAACAATGTAATTATATAATAAAAAAAAAATAATAATAATAATAGGCACCTGAGATAATAAGGTAAGCAAACAAGAAGCAGAATGTTAACAGAAGGTTTAGAGAAAGAGAGAGGAGAGAGAGAGCGAGAGAGAGGAGAGAGAGAGAGAGAGAGAGAGAGAGAGAGAGAGAGAGAGAGAGAGAGAGAGAGAAAATATAAAGAGTTTCGTTCCAAAGCTCATTATAGACCACTTTCAATAATCTTATTTTTTATGATATTATATATGTTATTGAGAGTGGACTTCAAATAAACATAAAAAATGTTATATTATGATTACTAAATTAATTAATTGAGATAGTAACAAGGTAAATATATACAAAATTGGTAGGTGGCTGTCCCAAACCCCTACATTTCAACTTGTAATAATACTTAAATCTTTTTGTATTTTTTCTATGTTTTTAAAGATCTTTTTGATTTATTTTAAAGTGAAGTTGAAAGATTTAAAATGAGTTAAATTTAAAAGAAACTTTATTTAAAACATGCTGAGACTGCATCCCTCACGGCAACATTAGATCCCATTGTTTTGAAATAAATGTGTCCCGAAGTCTGAAAATCAGTGTGTAACATTAAGAATTGTCACTACCGAAAGACATATTTTTTAATAAAAAAAAATTGTTTTGCGTGTTTTAGCTCTGCTCAAAATTAGCTAACACTTGAGCTAACACGTGATTGTTTCATTAGTGACAAAATGTAATGCTCCATCATTTATTTTAATGAAATAAACATGAGTAAGCTATAGAGTTACTCAAAGGATTTCAGTCTGAAATAAAAAAATAAAAGTCCAAAAGTTTTTTGTTTTCCTAATTCTGAATTTGATTCAGTTGAGTTTAATTTAAATTAAAAGAAACTTTATTCAAAAAATGCTGTCCATGTCTTCGTCACCACTGAAACACAAAAAGGTTGTGTCCATAGGCGGAGCTCATTTAACCGCACTCCTGCATTTTAGAGCAGGAATTGAGACTTCATCCCTCATGACAACATTAGATTCCATTGTTTTGAAGTAAATGGGTCCCAAAGTCTAAAAATCAGTGTGTAACATTAAGAATCGCCACTTCTGAAACACATTTTCTGCAAAAAATGCAGAAATGTTTTAATGAAAAGTAATAAGATTTTGTGTGTTTTAGTTCTGCTCAAAATTAGCTAAAACTTGGTAATGTTTCAGTAGTCATGATTTCATGATTCAGTAGTCAGATGTCATGATCGAAATCATGATAGAATCATCTATATACAGCATTTTGGAATGAAACTCTTTGTATGTTCAAGAATGAGAAGTGGAGTTAGAGTAAGACATAACAAATAGCATTTGGTATCTTCACCAGCAAATCTGAAATCACAAGCTTATGCGTTCTACCTTCACTTACCGAGCAGACTTCTTGGATAAAAGTGAGCATGAAACCAAACAAGCGAATATTATAGTAGCTCAAAAGGGAAAACACTGTATATCCAACAGTTCAGTTTCAAATAATATGCAAAAGTCCTCTCTCAGGTTCTCTCTGCAGATAGGTCTATTTTATGAATACATATAGATAACTACACTACTACCTATCCTATTAATATTATTCAGTGTAATTATATACCTTCCAGCAGGAGCCAGTCCTGGACTTGATTAATAATCGTTCATATTTTTGCTCTATAATTTACACTACTAACTACTAGAGTCAAGAAAATAGTATTCATCCCTATAAATACTTTCTCTGTACTATTTGTTCAAAATTGAAAACAAGTGCATCCTATTTGGAGCTTTGTTTTTCTTTCATATTTCTTCACCCTCTACTAGGATCATGTAATAAAGTGAATTCAGAAAAGATCTATTGGCTGTCCTTACATGGAAGATGTAACATGTTTTGTTGTAGTAAACATTTATTGGCCACCAGGGGGCAATCATAGAGCCGTATATAATCATTTCTCCCTGTGCACCACAGTAGAGGAGCTATAAAGGGGGGCAACTTTGCATTGCAATTGCATTGTGCTGTGAAAATTCTGTTGGAATTTCCATCCATGATGCTCAGTCTAAAAACTCATTCAGTCCACTAAATGTTTTTCCCTCAGTCTATCATGCTTATTGTCCACAAATCCCATACTGTATTACTTACATAATAATATGACACAATAGATAAGATTTAATAATACTAGTGGTAGTAGAATAGCACTATAAGTAATAGCAAGAATAGTAAGAATAGACCGATATTAATAGCGGAACAGCAGAATTCATTGCATCATTAAATGCTGCACATGAACGTGTAAACTCAGTCCCAACTGAAAGGGCAGCCCCTGCTACAGATAAAAGTAAACATTTTGAGACGCATCCTGGGCGCCTTTGCATATGAAGGTGACAGCACAAGAAAACACCAAGCATACTGAACGCAGCAACACCAAGGAGCTGAGCGTAATGAATCTGAATGGGGCAATTACCAGCCAGCTCTTCTGAACACTCGATCTGTTGCAAATTAGAGATAAAAGAGAGACCAGGAGCTCACTGGTGGACTCAGTGTGCCAAGGCACAAAGAATAAAACAGTGGCAGAGATCTGGAGACCTGGATATGTCATTTAAATGGCTGCCCCCCTCTGGAATGGGTCTGCTATGATACATTATATACAGTTTTTAGCAGTTGTGGTTAAATAGGCCTTGTCAGTGGGATTTTGTTTGTCAGTGCTGTTTTTGTCGTGGCTACATTCATATATCCCCTTGCTTTCAGTACAAACAAGAAATAGGTAATACAAATAATAATGACGAGGATGGGAAAGAAGTCTATTTTCTCAAGATGTCAGGGAGGAGAGAAAATTGTTGCTAAAAGGTACAACAATTCATAAGGTTATCGATTATTATTCAATTATTATTTCATTTGTTTTGAATGTTTTGATTGCTTCGCCTCTTTTCTTTTTCTCTCCCCCTGCAATGTTACAGTCACTCTAACCTTGGCTCATTCCCCCTGTCACTTTGTCTAGTTCAGATAATGTGTTGAAATGTCAGTTGCAGTCAATCTCAGGCACAAAGTTAAAAATGAACCCCCCCCTCCCCCCACTTCCTGCTATCTCTCACATCTTTTTTTGGCCTAACCTTCCTCTCTTTCTCCTTTAGCTTATTTCACCCCCTCCCCTTTCTCGCCCATGTTTTTTTCATTCCCTTGAGCCTTGAGTAAAGCCCTCCCTTCGCCCTTTCCCTGACCTCCCACCTCCTCTGCTGTGTACTGTATGTGTGCATCAATGTGTGTGTATGTGTGCTGGCTTCTCTCCATCTAGCAGGGCGAAGCACTCATCCTCATGTGTGTGTGGTAGTGTGGAGGCGGCACGGCGGATGGGGGCGTGGCCATCGGGAGGGACTGGGGGGCGGGGCCTCCGGAGTGCGAGGAGTGAAGGGTGTGTGGGTAGGAAGAAGAAGAGGAGGAGCTTGCGGGCTGGAGGTGGTAGCTGGCCGCGGAGGACGGGCCTGATGAGGACGGGGGATTGGAGGTCAGGCCGCTCTTGGGCCCTGACGGCGGGGAGGTCTGGTTGAGCTGGATGGAGATGTCACTGGACACCTCAGACGCGCTACGGCCGCGCTGAGGAGGGGGCCAAGACTCAGGGTGCAGGTACTGGCCGCTGTAGTCGCTGCACTCGGACAGGCGGGGACGATAGAGAGCCGGGTGGGGCCGGTACATCTCTTCCTCAGCATAACGCTTCATGAAGAGGTAGACTGACATCACGCCGGCACCCTGGCAAATGAGAAAGAATAGAAACGGAAGAAGTGAGAGAGGTTGATAAGAGCAAGATCAGAGAGATATAAAAGTATCATAGAAAATAACTTGCCTTTTGATTCTAAAGGTGTAGTCTCTTCATGCAAGCTCCCCTATTCATCATCTACACTTTCATCATTTAAAAAAATACATGATTTCTAATAACAGGGCATATGTTTTTTGTCATGTCTTGTAATAATCTGTGGAATTCATGTTTCATGTTCTCTCAATGCAGTACTCAAATGCATGATACATCAATGGGAATCCCTGTGGTGCCAACCAGTCCTCATTGCAAGTCTATAAACTGTGTAACTCTTACCTCACTCACCAATTCTTTATTCAGTCCTTTCTCAGCACAAAATGAACCCTGTGGCAAGTTTTTACCCTCAGTAGCCAAACTGTCTAGATAGACAGCTAACCTGGGCTGCCAACTTGCCACACTGGCCATGAGACTTACTCAGTTCAGTCTAATCTCACACTCTCACGCCTCGCTCAACATTTCTCACGCATTTTTACAAAACTGTTGGGTCTAAACGTGTCCTACTACCGCATATTTTTTCTCTGATTAAAAACACAGTTTATTTGAATACAAGAGAAAGAGATCACATTAGCTAGACAGTCACTGCCATTCCATGTGTTTTGTAGATCAGTAGTGCACCCATGTGTCAGACAGTACAGTAAAACACCAAACAGACGAGAACTGAAGGAAGATGAAAAGGTATTCTATGCAGCTGGCTTAGTCAGTATAAACTAAACAGGATCAATAACCAGAGCAACGCAGTTCTGTTTCACTTATAAGCTAAACAATAAGCAGGCTATCCTTACCTATTTTCACTGTGTAGCTGTTAGCTTTGAAGTCTGGCTCAACACTCGACCGAAGCACACAAAATTTGGAGCTGGTAATAAAAATAATCTTGTATCTATTGCTTTGCACACAGCTGTAACCAACATAAATTTAATATGCTTATGATTTCAAACATATTTTACCCCTCAACCCAACACCATCCAACCCATGACCCCACTTCAACCCCCAAAGCCTTCAACCTCCATAATCCCCCCAGCCCAGCCCGCTGACATCTCACTAACAAAAAATCTAAAAGTTGGCAGTCCTATGAGGTGATAAATTTTGCTTTTAGCTAGTTCCCCTTCTCAGCTGACAAGTTATTTCTATCATTTGAGTAATCCATTCTCTTCATTGTAGTGATGATTTGGAGACAGTGACTATAGTTATACAGCTGCAATAAGATATTCGACTTCCTAGCAATAATGTTAGCTGTCTGTCTTCTGCAATCAAAAAATATATATATATAAAAAAAAAAACTTTTAAAGCATTAAACGTTCAACCAATGTACAGAATTTAATGAAATAAAACATTTCCAATATTTTTTAGGTCAAAGGTGATCTTTGTTCTCTGCATGAACACTTTCAAACAACTAGAGTGCTACAGTTCAAAAGAGAGTCCAGTTTGAAGGAGAATGTTTTCCCTATGTTGAACTAGTCTGTTTAAAACTTCAGAGAAACAAGAACACCAAGCTTCTGATCTCTTATATCTCTAGGTTCTACTATGTTTGTGTATGGAAGGAAATCCTGATGCCAAAGTATGTACAAGATATCAACCAAATACAACAGTGATGGAGGATAGAGCTGTTTATGCTGGTGTAAGCAGTTAGCTAGAGTTAATAGTAACATACAGTTGTGGCATGTTGTTTGGGAGTGATTTTCTGCTACTCATAGTGTAGCCAATGCTTAATGCTAACATTTGTATGCCATGTATTTGTGTTTCAAAGGGCCCATATCATGGATTACCAAGTTTTTTTTTAAATAAAAGAGTTTGATGTAGTGTGGAAACACTGTTAAAGTAAGAAAAAAAATACAGCTCACTCCCTAATCCATATTTGGAAATCAAGCTACAAAAACAGCCCACTTTGAATTTACTGTTCACAAAAACTATTTTACATATATAATTCTGATGTAGTTTAGCTCCGCCCATTCATGCTGAAGTTATAAGCAGTGTTGCAGTCCAGAATGCTCTTTGAAATAAGGCACAACACAAAGCAACATTCATAGCAGAGCACATTTACATTTATTAGCCTGTTTAGTTCTATGAGATAAAGAGAGGTTAAAAACCATGTAAATATGAATTATGGCTGTATTTGGTGCATACAAAACAACACAGTTCTTCATAAGTGAACTTCAGGGGGGAAATAAAACACAAGAAAAATACAGGCTATAGGACCCATATGGACGAGAATCCACTGAAAACTGTGGAAGTGTTTGTGCTGCACTGTTTCTGACTGTTAAATGCGCTAGTAGCTAATATAAATGCATTTTGATAAGGGAGAAGCATGCAAGCTCAGGGATGTGTGGCAGATACTGCTACCATTTAAATATGGATGAAGTGATTTCAGAGAATATGCATATGTTCAGTGGTGGTGCGAGCACTTAGCCTTTTTGCGGAAGAAATTAGGGCCAACTTTAATGCATATTGATGAAAGAGGCCCTGTGAGTTTAGCAGCTAGGGGCAATTGCTGGTAACGTTGCTGCATTTTAATAAGGAGATTCCAGTGATAAGAATGCGTAGAGTTCCAGAATGAGGTTTGCAGTAAGTTGGAGTAAGTGTAGTCAGTGTGGGCTAACCTCTTTGAGCAGGAAAGAGCTGGCGGCAAAGGCAAAGGACCAGCCATAGTGGTAGTGGAAAAACTGCTCCGGCTCCCTCGGCCTGTTCATCACCTCATCGTTTATACTGGAAATGTACAGTACCAGACCCACCACCAGACTCAAACCTGGAAAAGCAAGGAAGCGAGAGAGTACAGAGTGAATATACATTTCTGTTCAAAAGTTTGGAATCACTGTTTGCAATAAAATAAAATCAATTATGTTGTAGGTACACTACCGTGGAAAGGTTCAATAATAACTAATACAGTGTAGACTAAAATGATGTAAACTGAATGGCAAAACATAAACACAAATGGTTTATTTGCAATTTAAATTATTTTGGGAATTATTTTGTGGTTCTGACATCACAAAATCTTATTAAACCGTAAAATGTAATAATCAGTCTCAAAAAAAGGAAGTATGCATATGGAACCAAAAAATAAAGAAGAAAAAGACAAGATGAGCAGAAGAAGCTAAAAGATAAACATATGTTTTATTTTACTTTTTTGTGATGTTAATATAATGCCATTTGTTGTGGCTTGTAGTTGGACAAAAAGAAGTAGTACATCTGGGCTGTGACTAACAAAGCAGGTTCAACTTAGACAGACTTTCTGACTGAGGTTCAGCATCACAAAATCTGGCAAACGCAGACATTTTACAACAGTGGTTAGTGTCAGACTGTAACTAGTCCAGGTTTAGATACTCAGACTGTGATTAATTCAGGTTTAGAAACTCAGGCTGTGATTAATCCAAGTTTAGATACTCAGGCTGTGATTAATCCAGGTTTACATACACAGACTGTGATTAATCCAAGTTTAGATAAACTGACTGTGATTAAACTAAATTTGGATATTCAGGCTATGATTAATCCAGATTTACATTCTCAGACTGTGATTAATCCAGATATAGATACTCAGGCTGTGATTAACCCAGGTTTAGATACTCAGGCCAGAAGGTCCCCCCCTCATAGCTAAGGTAAGACTGATGCAGGACTGAAGAACAGGGAGATGGGGTGGCAGTGGGGATTGTGAACACTTCATCATGGGAACGGAAGGTGAGGATGTGAATTTATAGGGCATTAGATTGGAAGAAGGAGGGGTTTCAGCCATGGTCCTCCCCCCAAACTCCAGTTATAATATAACTACATTATTAATGCATGTGAAAGTGTGATGTCTATGACAAACAGCCAATCATGTGAAACATAGGGAAAAAAGAAGGAAAAAGACATGAAATTACCTAAATATGTAGAAAGTCAAACATTTATAATGGTAAAAAAGCAACGCTGTTGCCACTGCCACCAGGGTTAACGAAACTTAAAGTTAGCTGGGTAAGCAAGAAATACAGTGTCATGAGACAGAGCCCTGAATCGAGAATGCTGACCTTCATCTGTAATTTCCACTGTAACTTAGAGTTACACAAATAACCAGTTATTAATGTATACATTGGAGTGGTACCCTTGAGGGTACATGTTCAGTACCTTTAATTAGGGAAGATAATTGTACCATGTTGCATTGCAATTACATTTTTAAGTTGTATTGACTCCACACACCCTGTTTTGACTCTAGGCTTTTTATTTTGTTATTCTGTTTTAAAACATTAGGTTATGAAAAGGTAGTATGAATCTTCTGGGAAAAACCTATTTAAGGTCCACAGTTGGACCTTAAAATCATTGCTGTACCTTTGAGGGTACATTTACATTGTTTGTGCCTTGATAAACAAAAAATGCACCTGCACAGTACCCCTTTTTTCGGACATTGTATAATTAAGTTTTTGGCAGTCACTGTTTATAGTTAGACTATAATTTTACTGTAAATCAGCTAGCACGATGGGGAGCCCCGCAAAATTCCTCCTACAGTAATTATTATGGGATCATTTATAGCTCCATTCATTATTGAAAATGTCTTGACTTTTTGCAGCTTCCTACAAAGTTTTTGAAACCTGTAAAATGTTAGCATCACATTAGGAATATTGTATACATGCGTATGCAACAATAATGGTTTAATGTTTGTGCTCAAGAATAAAATAATTCTATTATGATGCTAATATTATACAGGGTGCAAACAATTTGTACCAAGTCTTGCTGATCAAATAGCTATTCATGGTAATTTTGTGATGTTTAATTTACCACAAATAGATAGTTATGGATTATTATATAATAATGTTTCTGACACAACTTCTTGTTCTTCCCAAAATACTTACATTGTGGTGTCTAGTTTATAACATCAACACTGTATTAATTCGTATTGAAGAATAATTATTACTATGACAAATGATTACACACTTTTGCATGGTAGGGCACATAAACTGAAGTGTGAAAGTGATGCGCTGAAAAGATTTGTGTCCATCCACTTCAATAAAACACATTACATTAACACAATATGTATAAGTGTATGAAATGAATAGAGGTCATCTCATAGTAGCCTACAATGTGCAGTGGCCCTCTGCAACTGTCTCAGCAGCTCTCCTTAACTGCCTAGTTTGTGATTGAGTGATACTGTTTTCCTCCAATGACGAAGAAACGCCTTGACAGTAATTACGGACGACAAGGCGAGGGAGAGCTAAATCAGAACAGCGGAGCACCGAGCATGTCATATCATGATACATTAGCATTGAAAGAGTGTTCAAATGTTGCCTTTGTTATGATGGGGAAAGGCTCTGCAGTAATTGCAGAGCGAGAGAGGGAGAGACAGAGAGAGAGAAAAGTGAGGGGAGGAAGGAAAAGCCTCTGGCATAACCAAACACATTAACACAGTCTGTCGCAGCCAGCTGTCTACATCAGGAATACCAACAAGGCGTGCTTTTACATATTTCCATTTCACATCCCGAGACGTGCGGTGCTCAATCGCGCTCTTCCGGCACTTGTGTCATGCCGTGAACTTTCCCTGATGCAAAACAATAATAGCTTCTGTTCTCCTGTCAAAAGCAATGAAGTCATATTCAATGAAGTGTTCAATAACGGCGCAGAAAATTTGCAGCCCTGGTATAAATCAACCGGCAGTAATCAAATGACGGATAGAAGGTGCCACATAGAGAAGTGCCTCTTACATCTTTGCATTTACTTTCCATTTGTTTCAGCTACTCTATGCTTTTGCTCTGTAAGCACAAGGGCAAGGGTCCAACTTCAGATCCAATCTAAAATTGCAGCCCTACACATTACAATGCTGTTGCTTCTTTGAACTACTGAGCGATGTTTAATGGAACGGTTTGGCAAAAAATCAAATGTTCCCCTTTTTCCACTTAACCCAGATGTAGTTAGACAACCAAGACATGTTAGGAGTCCAAATTTTGCTTTAGTTGTGAGCTGGAGACACAAGTTTGTTGCTAACAAACACTAGAATTCAATAGTCACCCACACAGCCTTAATCATTCCTGCGAAAATATATCACTAAAAATTTCTCTCAACCCACTCAGCTTGCATCCCGATCTTAATTAAGGTGGCATAGATTTGCAGATGTGGTTTAGAACACAGTATGACTTAATATGAGCTTTAAAAATGAACCAAAAGTGCTATGGGCAGCTAGGACTGGTTTTAACAAAGTAGGACTGATCATGGATCAGATTATTCTGTAGTTATGGCAGCCATTGTCACAAATACTGATTCTAGATATGCACTCTGGTTTGTGAGTACAGACACTGCTGTCTAAAGTAGCTGCTCACAGATTTATTCATTTTTATAGTTCACAGGAAGTCATCGGCAAGTCTGTGTGACTTTAATGAAGACCTGGATGCAGTGTGAGGGGCTTTTGTTGTTTTGGTGACGTATTTTTAAACAAACGATTTGGGCGAATTGGGTGACTATTGGGTTCTTGTGTATGTTAGCAATGTTAGCCTCACCATTCCAGTTCTAAACAAAAGAAGCTGAATTTATTCTCCAAACATGTCTCAGCCGATCAACTACATATGGGATAAGTGGAAAATTGTGTAAACTAGATTTTTGTCAAACCATTCCTTTAATAATGGGCTACTGTTATCTGGAATCTTAAGCAGCATGAAACAGCAGGACTTGCACCTGAGATAAATGAAGCAGCAGTATTATTAATGCTTAGTTTACAAATCTATGTATTACAGCCTGGGGTGAAAGGATCACTGAAAATCCCGCAAAAAGCTGAGGTCAGGGATTTTTAAGCCAACTGGCTTGTGTACAACTGACTAATGTTTTAATAGGACCAGTGACTAAAGTGACATTGCATTTAGAACTATAGCAAAGACATCAGTTAATAGGGTTTGGGATTGTGCTCAAAAGCAAGCACACATTTAATGACTATAGTGCTTGTAGATTAGTGTGATATGTAAGGAAATAGAAAGAAGAGCAGCTCAGGTGACTGAGAATGTCAATGTAGGATGTGATCAGACTGTGTCAGCAAGAACAGTCCATCAATAACTACACGGAGAGGGATATTGCAATAGGGTTGCAGTACATAAACCCCTCATTACAAAGACGAATGCACATTTGAAAGTTCAGTGGTGTTAAACCATCAGGACTGGTCTATGGAGATGTGGAAAAAAGTGATATGGTCAGATGACCATGTTCTCCACAAGTGGGCGAGTGCATGTGCGGCATACACCAAGAAAACGGGACAGGCCTGGATGTTTGGCCCTGTACTTTGAGGGAAGGGTCACTGCAAATCAACACAAAGTCATTCTGACTGATTACCTTTGTCCTATGAGGAAATATTTCTACCCTGAGTGGTCTTCTCCAGGATGACAATGTCCCCATCCACAGGGCATGAGGGGTCACTGAATGGTTTTATAAGTGATATAGTGATATAAATCATATGCTATGGCCTTCTCAGTCATCAGATCTCAACCCAGTTTACCGGCAATGAGAGCAGCTGGTGTCTGTGTGATTCATGTCTGCAGCTCAAGGTACACTATACGTCCAAAAGTTTGTGGACACCTCTTCTTATTAATGAATTCAGCTGCATTAAGGTGCACCCACTGCTGACACAGAAGTTCAAATACACACACAGCTTGTATGAACTCCATAGAAAAGCATAAACCAATAGAATGAGACACTCTGAAACAGCCACACATGAGCCTAAAGTCATCATGCCTAATCATGCCAAGTGTATAAGTGGATAAAGGGGTATGAAGCACACCAGCATTGGGCTGTGGAGCAGTGGAACTG